CAAATCATGACCGGCGGCCTGTGCGCGGCCCAGCGGGGGGCCAGGGACGTAATGAAATAAGAAGAGGCGCCATGAAATCTGGGGAAATATCATGGCCCCCGCCATGATATCCCCCCCTAATCATCACCCCCCTCTTTGCCGCCCCCGATCCAGGGCTGTCAAAAACAGGTTCAGAATGAAGTGCTGTCCCTGCAGTAACACAAAAAGGTCGGGACTTCTGGGGACCCCCATACAGAAAAAATCGGATGTCTGGAAAGGAGGAGGACGACGACGACGACGACGACGACGACGACGACGACGACGAGAGTAACGACGACAACGGCGACGACGGACGACCAACGACCGACGACCGACAACCGACGACCGACGACCGACGATGACGACGATGACGACAATGACGACGACGACAAAGACAACGACAAAGACAAAGACAAAGACAACGACAACGACAAAGACGACGACGGCAAAGACAAAGACGATGACGACGACGACGACGACGACGACGATGACGACGAGCGGGAGCGGGGCAGTGCGAGCGGGAGTACCAGCAGGAGGCGCAAAAAACAGACAGAGGAGCAGCAGAGGTGGTGGAACAGGAGTATACGGGCAGGAGCAGGGGCGGGCGGAAAGTAAAAGGGGGTTCGAAGATGTTGCACTCGGTCATTTGAGATACGTTTCTATCTTTGTATGATATGTCTATTACATACTTTTGTTTTTATATTTATTTATATATATATATATACATCTATATATATGCGTGTAGGTATCTATTTACATGCCGCCGCGCCGTTTGTTCTGAACTCGCGCAAACCCGCGGCGAGCCATGCGCCCCGCGCCCCAGCAGACGACGCCGGCAGCGCGGCGAACCCGAGACAGACCCGCCGTGCCCGAGGAGGAGCCTGCCCCGGTGGCCGAGGCGCCCCCCCCGCCAAGACGCAAGGCCGCGCGCCGGCACGAACGGCGCGGCGACAGGTGCAGCAGGATGAGAATGGGGGGGCGGGCGCGGGCCGGGTCGCGGGGTGGGTCGCAGGCGGGTCGAGGGCGGGTCGCGGGTGGGTCGGGGGCGCGTCGCGGGGTGGGGCGGGGGCGGGTCGCGGGTGGGTCGCGGGCTGGGTCGCAAGTGGGACGACGACGACGACGACGACGACGACGACGACGACGACGACGACGACGACGACGGTGACGATGACGACGACGACAAAGACAAAGACAACAACAACAACAACAACAACAACAACAACAACAACAACAACAACAACAACAACAACAACAACAACAACAACAACAACAACAACAACAATTATTTCAAGACTGCTCGCTCTTACTTGCTCGCATGCCATTCAACACATACATCCCCAACCCTCGGTATCCGCCCTATTCGTATTCGATCGTACCCCCCTTGGGAATATATCTTCCCTTTGGCGCAGCCCCTAAAACACGGGAAAAGAGGACGAATGGACGTGGGAGGGAGAAGGATGGAGCACGAGAGAAATTGCAGGAGGGGGGCTAGGACCTGAAAACACGCGGCAGAACCACACGGGCAGATCGGGCGGGTAGACCCTGATGGGCGGGTCGGGAAGGCGGGCCCAGGCGGCCAGGTCGAGTAGGCGGGTTACCAAAGCGTGAACATGAGTCGCGAGGAAGTCTCGAGCGATAGCGCGATTCCCAAGTAAGTCGTGAGAAAGGCCAGGGCGACAGCGTGATTCCTAAAGATTGGAGGCGCGACGCCTGAATAAATTACCAGGAACTCCCACGCGAGAGCGCAATTCCTGGATAAATTATGAGGAAGTCCCGCGCGAGAGCGCGTACTTGAAGTGGTGGGGAAGTATCAAGCGGGAGCCGTTGCTGTTAAAACTCGGGGGCCAGGGGCCCAGTTTAATGACACCTCGCTTTACCTTGTAAAAAACAAGATGCGAGCACCGGAAGGAGCACTTTACTTGCAAAATACAAGGGTTACCGGAGGGGGGGCATCAACAATAACCATCGCTCGGAAATGAAAATTCAACAGCAGCAAGCGACAATGCAACAACAGTCTCCACCGCGGAACCCCATTTCAGCCACGCACTCAGGGACAGTGAATGACCGTTCGGCCCCCTCACGCACATATATCTATATGCGCATGTATCTCTATAGATGTGTGTGTAAATTGAACAGTGCCCCCCACAAGGACCTGCCTGTCGGCAGCCCTGGCGGGATTCCCCCGACCTCCCAGAACGACGAGAGAAAAATTGAAGACACACGGTGAACGGTGCAAAAATGGCACGTGAAAAACATGTTCCAAAACAAGCAGACGGCGGACCAGAAGAAGTGAGCCAACAAAACCTGAAAGTCGCGCCACACCAACAGGCAGCACAGATGTCTCCGAATTCCCTTCCATCCCTCGAGCCGTCGACGATACGGTCGCATTCTTCCATGGTCCAGCGCTTCTCCATCCCTATCCTACTCCAGAAGACCTGAAACCAGAAAAGGTGCTCCAGATTTCGTAATAAAAGGGAGGGGGTCTGGACCCTCCAAGACAAGCCATTTCAGACCTCCCCCGTGGGAGAACCTTCCAAAACATCGTCCCCAGACCCCCCCGGCCCTCCAAGATAACCTGGAAGAGACCCCCCCCCGAAATGAGACCCCCCTCCCTTTATTACGAAATCTGAGTGACCAGGTTCCACGTCCGCCGCAATCCGCCCTCTCCTCCCCGGCTTCCGCCGGCGCGCCCGCCGCCAGCTCGCTTCCGCCAGCCTCCGCCGAGGGCCAAGGCGCGCCGCAGGCGAGACCCGCCCTTTCTCTGCAGCGCGCCACGTGCCACCACCAACCTCGTCGTGTTCGTTAGCGGCGGCGGCGGTGGCGGCAGGGGGCCGCCTCCAGGGCCGCCGCCGCGGCGACCTTCTCCGCGGCCCCCTCGATCTCAATCCTGTAGGCCTCGCGACCCGCCGCCGCGAGAGCGCGGGAGCGCTCCACGCTCGCTGGCGACCACGTCGTCGTCGCCGCCGAAGCCGCCGTCGACGTCGTCGTCGTCGTCGTCGTAATCGACTCCTCCTCCTCCTCACCCTCCTCCTCTTCCTCCTCCTCCTCCTCCTCCTCCTCCTCTTCCTCCTCCCCCTTCTCCTCCGCCTCCTCCTCCTCCTCCTCCACCTCATCATCATCATCATCATCATCATCATCATCATCATCATCATCATCATCATCGTCATCATCAGCATCATCATCATCCTCCTCCTCATCCTCCTCCTCCTCCTCATAATCATCATCATCATCATCCTCATCCTCATCCTCATCCTCATCCTCATCCTAATCCTCATCATCATCAGCAGCATCAGCATCAGCATCAGCATCATCATCATCATCATCAGCGTCATCATCATAATCAGCATCATCTGGATCATCATCGTCATCGTCATCATCGTCACCATCGTCATCGTCATCATCATTGTCATCATCATCATCAGCATCATCATTATCATCGTCATCGTCATCGTCAGCAACATCGTCGTCAGCATCATCATCATCATCATCATCATCATCATCATCATCATCGTCCTCCTGATCATCATATCCAGAAGCATCATCATCAGCAGCATCATCATCAGCAGCAGCATCATCAGCATCGTCATTATCATCGTCATCATCAGCATCATCATCATCACCATCATCATCATCATCCTATTCATCATCATCAGCATCATCATCACCACCACCACCATCATCATCATCATCATCATCATCACCATCATCACCATCACTGTAATCATCAGCATCGTCATCATCCTCAAGTTATCCTAACCCTCATCCTCCATCTGAGCCCCGACACCCATCATCATCATCATCATCATCATCATCATCATCATCAACACCACCATCATCATGATCGTCGTCGTCGTCGCCGTCGTCGTAATCGTCATCGCCATCGCCCTCATCCTCCTCCTCATCCGCATCCTAACCATCATCCGAATCCTCCTCCTCCCCCTCCTCCTCATCATCGTCGTCATCCTCATCCTCATCCTGATCCTCCTCCTCCTCCTCCTCCTCCGCCGCCTCCTCCTCCAAACCGTCATCATCATCATCATCATCATCATCATCATCATCATCATCATCATCATCCTCATCATCCTCATCATCCTCATCGTCATCGTCATCATCGTCGTCATCATCATCATCCTCATCCTCATCCTCATCCTCATCATCATCATCATCATCAGCATCACCATCATCATCGTCATCCTCATCCTCATCACCACTATCATCATCATCATCATCATCATCATCATCATCATCATCATCATTATCATCATCGGCAGCATCATTATCATCGTCAGCATTATCGTCATCCTATTCATCATCATCATCATCATCATCATCGTCATCATCATCATCAGCATCATCATCACCACCACCATCATCATCATCATCACCATCACTGTAATCATCATCATCAGCATCATCATCATCATCACAAGCATCATCATCACCATCATCATCTCGTCATCATCATCACCATCATCATCATCAGCATCAGCTTCATCCTCATCCTCATCATCCTCATCGTCATCAGCAGCATCGGCATCATCACAGTCGTCGTCATCATCATCATCGTCATCATCATCATCATCATCATCAGCATCAGCAGCATCAGCATAATCGTATCAACAGCATCACGGCCACCATCATCATCATCAGCATCATCATCGTCATCTTCAGCATCATCATCAGCATCAGCATCATCATCATCATCATCATCATCATCATCATCATCATCATCATCATCATCAGCATCATCACCAGTAGCAGTAGCAGCACCACCACCACCGTCATCATCATCATCATCATCATCATCATCGTCATCATCATCATCATCATCATCATCATCATCATCATCATCATCGTCATCATCATCATCATCATCATCATCATCACCAACAGCATCGCCATCGTCACCATCATCATCATCAACAGCATCATCATCATCAGCAGCATCATGATCATCGTCAGCATCGTCAGCATCGTCATCAGCGTCATCCTCATCAGCAGCATCATCACTATCATCATCATCATCATCAGCATCACCATCATCATCATCATCATCATCGTCATCATCGTCGGCGTCATCATCGTCATCGTCATCATCATCATCATCATCATCGTCATCATCATGAGCATCATCATCAGCATCACCCCCTTACACTCATCATCATCCTCCTCCAGAGCCCCGATGCCCATCAGCCGTGCCATCATCATGGCGCAATCATCATCATCATCATCATCATCATCGTCATCATCATCATCATCATCATCAGCATCATCATCATCATCATCATCATACCGTCGGCATCGTCATCATCAGCAGCATCAGCATCAGCATCCTCTTCATCATCATGATCAGCATCATAAGCATCATCAGCATCATCACTATCAGCATCAGCATCAGCATCATCATCATCAGCAGCATCATCATCAGCATCATCAGCATCGTCATCGTCGTCATCATCATCATCATCATCACCGTCGTCGTCGTCGACGTAGTGATCATCATCATCAGCATCATCATCATCAACAGCAGCATGATCAGCATCATCATCATCATCGTCATCATCAGCATCATCATCGCCCTCATAACCATCCTCATCCGCAAGCATCCGTCTCCTCTTCCTCCTCCTCCTCCTCCTCATCCCCCTAACCATCATCATCATCATCGTCGTCGTCGTCGTCATCATCATCCTCGTCGTCGTCGCCGCCATCATCGTCATCAGCATCATGAGCAACAGCATCAGCAGCAGCTTTACCATCATCATCATCAACAACCATCACCACCTCCACCACAATCATCAGCATCATCGTCAGCATCATCATCATCATCATCATCATCAGCAGCATCTTCGTCATCATCATCAGCATCGTCGTCATCAGCATCGTCGTCATCAGCATCGTCATCATCATCGTCATCAGCATCATCATCATCATCATCATCCAAAGAAAGGAGGTGGCGGAAGGGAATTCCAGCGAAGGAATATAGTGTTAGCCTGCACCTGGCGCGGAGAACACTTACACCACCCTACCGAGATTCACAGACCAACTACAGCGCAAACAAGCCCCGCGTCGATCACAAAATGGTACGTACCAGCCCCCGCTCGTGGCGCTGCTCCAGAGAGGTGTGATAGAAGGCTCCCGATCCCTGCGTCACAAGAGAACACTCTTGACACCGCGCGCGTGGCCCAGCGTCAACTGCAAGACACCAGAGAAAATACTGCGGAGCCGTCCTGCAGGGATCCGTTGAAAGCATCCGCCGCCGAGCTGGCGGGGAAGAGAAGGGGGAAGTCACGAGCGGCAGCACGTGGCCCCGTGCACAGCGGCGACAGCTCTCTCTCTCTCTCTCTCTCTCTCGCACCCCCCCCGTGCGGTCCAGGGGACCGCGCGCACAAGCTTCCGATAACGACGCCGCGCGCGCTGCCCGGAAGGCTCCCGCCCACACCTTCTCGAGGCAGGGTGGAGGTCTTGTCAACCCCCGGGGCAAGGAGTGACGCCGCTGGCTCGCGCCGCCCGTGGCCCGCCGAAAATACAGAGCGGCAGCGCGAGGAGGACACTCCCCCTCCCCAATGAGAACCCTCGGGGCGCGCGCGCGGGAAGCTTCCCCTCGTTGGCATGTCTCCCGGCGCCTTGCCTACTCTTACCGCGAGGATGCCGCGCAACTCGCTGCCGAGCGAACATGATGGACCCACGAACCCGGAAAGGGATATAGACATGTGCAGCATGGTCACGTTTTCACGATAACCAACTAGGCGACACCTCACGAAACATCCCACGAGACACCCCGCGAAACATCCCACGAGACACCTCACGAAACATTCCACGAGACACCTCACGAAACATTCCACGAGACACCCCGTGAAACATTCCACGAGACACCCCACGAACAGGCAACCACTCAACCAGACACCCCACGAAACATTCCACGGGGGTGCGACTGGGTGTGGTCGTGCTGGGGTGTGGTCGTGCTGGGGTGGGGTCGGTGGGGGGGTGGTCGTGCTGGGGTGGTCGTGCTGGGGGGTGGTCGTGCTGGGGGGTGGTCGTGCTGGGGAGTGGTCGTGCTGGGGCGTGGTCGTGCTGGGGCGTGGTCGTGCTGGGGCGTGGTCGTGCTGGGGCGTGGTCGTGCTGGGGTGTGGTCGTGCTGTGGTGAGGTCGTGCTGGGGTGTGGTCGTGCTGGGGTGTGGTCTTGCTGGGGTGGGGTCGTGCTGGGGTGATCGTGCTGTGGGGTCGTGCTGGGGTGTGGTCGTGCTGGGGTGTGGTCGTGCTGGGTGGGGTCGTGCTGGGGTGGGGTCGTGCTGGGGTGTGGTCGTGCTGGGGTGTGGTCGTGCTGGGGTGTGGTCGTGCTGGGGCGTGGTCGTGCTGGGGTGGGGTCGTGCTGGGGTGGGGTCGTGCTGGGGTGTGGTCGTGCTGGGGTGGTCCGCACCCTGTGATTTATCGATCGGGTCGTGCTGGGGTGTGGTCGTGCGTGGGGGGTGTGGTCGTGGGGGTGTGGTCGTGCTGGGGTGTGGTCGTGCTGGGGTGTGGTCGTGCTGGGGTGTGGTCGTGCTGGGGTGTGGTCGTGCTGGGGCGTGGTCGTGCTGGGGCGTGGTCGTGCTGGGGTGTGGTCGTACTGGGGTGTGGTCGTGCTGAGGTGGCCCGCACCCTGTGATTTATCAGTCGGGATTTCAAAACCAAGCGTTTCGCCTGAGACATCCTCAAATTTTAATCCGCCGGCCCACCTCGACCTCGATATTCATCAGGAAAAGAATCCGCCGGCCCACCTCAGTTGAGGCACCGGGGACAAGTTTACAAAAAAGAGAACCCTGGGCCGGCGCCATTTCCAGGAAAAACGGAGGAGGAGGCACAGCGTCGGAATAGTAGGAGGCCGAGGAGGAAGGGAGGAGGAGGACGACGACGAGGAGGACGAGGAAGGAGGTAGGGGGGGAGGAGGACGAGGAGAAGGAGGACGACGACGAGGGGCACGAGGAGGAAGAGAGGGAGGCGGCAGGGCTTGCCAGCTCCCAGCATGGGCGCCTCCTCCGCAGCGTTCGCGCGGCGCGACTCGCGCCGGAGCTCCACGGTGAGGTCCTCGGGCGACACCGCCGGCGGCTGGTGGCGGTTGGCGGCTGGATACCGACGGCCACCAGAGACCTTCGAAGGCTTGCGACGCCACCACGGACCAGGCTGGAATCCAAATTAGGTCAGAGTAAGGGGGCTGAACCGAACGGTCATTCACTGTCCCTGGGTGCGTGGCTGAAGTGGAATTCCAAGATGCGGATTATTGCTGTTGTTGGTGGTGGTGTTGTTGGTGTTGCTGTTGCTGTTGTTGCTGCTGTTGTTGTTGTTGCTGCTGCTGTTGTTGTTGCTGTTGTTGTTGGTTGTTGTTGGCTGTTGTTGGTTGTTGTGTGTTGTGTGTTGTTTGTTGTGTGTTGTGTGTTGTTTGTTGTTTGTTGTTTGTGGTTTGTTGTTGTCGTCGTCCCACCCGCGATCCGCCCCGCGACCCACCCCGCGACCCACCCCGCGACCCACCCGCGACCCACCCGCGACCCACCCGGCGACCCAGCCGCGACCGACCCCGCGACCCACCCGCGACCCGCCCGCGACCCACCCGCGACTCACCCCGCGACCCGCGGGCCCACCCCGAGACCCCCACCGGCAACCCACCCGCGACCCACCAGCGACCCACCCGCGACCCACCCCGCGACCCACCCGCGACCCACCCGCGACCCACCCGCGACCCATTGCGACCCACCCGCGACCCACCCGCGACCCACCCCGCGACCCACCCAAAATTTTCGGCGCTTGCGGCGGGTTTCTTATGCATTCGTTCCAGGTGGAGAACCTGCGACCCACCCGCGACCCAAACCGCGTTCAGTGCACAAATCAAAATTTTCGGCGCCTGCGGCGAGCAGTTTTTGAATTCCTTCCAGGTGGAGGTGGAGAGCCCGCGACCCACCCGCGACCCAAACTACGTTCACTGAACAAGCCAAAACTTCAGCCTCTGCGGCGGGTTTCTTTTGTATCGGCGACCCACCCGCGACCCACCGGCGAGCCACCCCGAGACCCACCCGCGAGCCACCCCGCGACCCACCCGCGACCCACCCGCAACCCACCCGCGACCCACCGCGACCCACCCGCGACCCACCCGCGACCCACCCACGACCCACCCCACGACCCACCCCGCGCCCGCCCCCTCACCTTTATCCGCATTTGGGGGGGTGCTACGTCACATCCACCACGGGCCAAACCCAGACCCCAATAAGGTCACGTCCATCACTGCCGCCGTCGCCGCCGCCACCGTCGTCGCCGCCACCGTCGTCGCCGCCACCACCGCCGCCATCGTCGTCGCCATCGTCGTCATCGTGGTCGTCGCGGTCGTGGTCTTGCTCGTGGTCGTGGTCGAGATCGTGGTCGAGATTGTGGTCGAGATCGTCGTCGTCGTCGTCGTCGTCGTCGTCGTCGTCGTCGTCGTCGTCGTCGTCGTCGTCGTCGTCAGACGACGATGAGCGGCGTCCAGCGATCGAGGGTGGACGATCGGGGACTTGCGGAGATCGAGGATGGACGATCGGAGGCTTCCGCAGGTTTGCCCCCGGCGATCGAGCACCAGGGATTTTGGGCGTCTGTGGCCCCGCGTAGGCCCCCAGAGGGGCCTCCAGAGACCTCCGGGGAACTCGAAGGGACCTCGCCGTATGGATCGTCCAACGACGACGACAACGACGACGACGACGACGACAACGACGACAACGACGACGACGACGGCGGCGGCGGCGACGACCACCACCACCGCCACCACCACCACCACCATCACCACGGCGTTGCGCCCCAGGGATCGCTCGAGATCGCTCGCTGGGAGACCGTTCGCCCCCGGACGACCGGCCAACGAAGTTCAGAAGGGAGACGGCAGCAAAAACGGCCCTGGCGTGGCCGGAGCCCACAAGTGCGAGGCGGGGATTTCTCCATGTCCACCGCCTGGGAACCGACGTCCTGGTGCCCCAGCGAGCGGTGGATATGGATATATTTCGGCCCCCGGGGGCCCGAATATGTCCATATCCACCGCCGGCCGAGGCTCCGAAAACTGACCCTCCAGGCGGTGGTCATGAGCAGTTTTCCGCCTCGGAACTAGGGGCAGGCCTTCTCGGAAGGCGGCAGGGCTTCTCAGAAGCCCTCAAGCCGTCTGTCTTTCTGACAAGCCACTCGCCCGAAAGACCCGAACGATCGGGCCGGGCGGGCGGTCGGGCGGGCCGGGTCGGGCGGGGCATGAAAAAGCGGGCGAGCGGTGTTTCAAGCGTGCGAGCTCGTCGCCGCAGCAGTCTATCGCCAGAGCGGTCTTTGCTGGAGCGGTCTTCTGACGGAGATCTCTGCCAGAGCGGTCTCTGCCGGAGCGTTCTTCTGCCAGAGCGGTCTTCTGCGCGGTCTCTGCCGGAGCGGTCGTCTGCCAGAGCGGGCCTGCTGGAGCGGTCTCTGGCAGAGCGGTTCTGCTGGAGCGGTCTCTGCCAGAACCGGTTCTGCTGGAGCGGTCTCCTGCCAGAGCGGTCTGGACAAAAACCTGCCATCCGAAAATGTCCAGAGGCTTTAAGAACCTTCTGGAAGTCTGCGGGAATCTTCGAAGTGCACGGAAGGTTCCGGGGGGTCGGGGGCTGTCGAGGGTTGTCGAAGGTCGGCTGGATGTTTTCGAGGACTCCCAGAAAGTCCAAAGGCCCAGCATCGCAACACCCAGACATTGAGGCGTCACGAAGAAATCATTACGGGCGTGCTTCTTCGCAATGTCATGCTTCAGGACGCGAAAAACATTATTTGGGGCCAACCTTGACAGAAACATCACGGAATCGTAGGTCTGGGCGCATGATTGTCCTCATCCTCCTCATCCTCGTCCTCCTCCACAATTACACAATATGAATACGAATACTATTCTCCTCTCTCTCCGAATGACGTCCAGAAGATATCCAACCCCCTCCACGTACTGTTTTTAACACACTGGATTCCCGGGAAACGGGTTTTCGCTTAGGTTTTTTGTCCAAAGTGTTGCGCTGGCCACATTTCTGCGCTTCTGGTTGTTCCAAATCGTGCTCCCGCTGCAACGCGGGCGTTTTCGGTCCTTGGAAATAGGCCCCAAAAATGTAGAAAATGCACCCCGAAACTCCATCGGAAGTGATTACAGTTCCGGTGTGGGTTTATTGATATTTGGGCCCGCAGAAGCCCCCCCCCACTGTGGGGCGTCGTCGTTTTCAGGAAATATCAAACGGGAGCCCCGTTTCTGCTTCGAGAAGGCGATGTGGAAAGCAGAGCCAGCGGGTGCTCTCCATCAGCCCCGCCGTGCGTGGAGCTTTTGGGAGAGCCCAAGGAGCTACACATGGAGCCACGACTCCCAACTGGCCCAGACATCTTGAAGAGGACCAATTTACCCTCCAAGGAACCCGGCGTCATACCATGACATGCTGTGCGGCCTTGTGTTCCGCGTCGCTGTGCGATGCCATGTTTTGCGTTGCAATGTTTTGTGATGCAATGCTTCACTGCGCACTGCCACGCCATGCTACGGCATGCTACGCGCTGCCGTGCTCTTCTACGCCATTCCATGTCTTGCTCTACCATGCATCGCGTACCCTCTCGCGATCATAGTCCTTCTCGACATTCGACTGTGCGAATAGAGAGGAAATATACGCTAGTGTAAGGAATGGGAAGGAGGGGTAGGACGTCATATATAACGCGAGCGCACCTAGCTTGCCCTCTCCCTCTCCTCCTTTTTCCTCCTCCTCGTAAATTGGAAAACGCGCGACCCCTCCTGGGCCGCAGGGGTGTTTTACCAACACGGGACCACTTTCGCTCCCGACCAAGTGTCTCCTCGAACACGTACAATTATCACACCTTCGCTCACCCCAAGCCACGATCCCTTCCTGGAATTCCCACCAGCCTTCTGGGAGAAGGTGGTGTAGCGAGTTCTGTTTTCCTTTTTCCAAACAGCCCTTCCCTTTGTTCGGGGAGGGGTTTACCACTGTCCCTAATGAATATGCACACACATACACACACCACACCTCACCAGGGGTGAACCCAGAACCAGATCAACCCCCCCACACCATCCTTTTTTTTTAAAAAACAAAAAAAAAAAAAAAAAAAAAAAACAACATTCAAAATGCATTCCGCATCAAAATCTCAAAAAAATGTGCGGACGCCCCGCAATCCCTTCGCACGGGTTTTTCACATGTACGATAGATGGGCCACCAAACTGTCCGCGCAATGTAGCACCATCCGTTTTAAAACAAAAGCGCGAAGTACATTTTGCACCAAATCTTGGCGTTGGATTTGGACGATCACTTGCCTTTGGATTAGGACAGGGACGGCGGGGGGCGGCGTACTGCGTGCTGCGCGCACTGCCAACACCCCTCCCCCCCGCCACCCCTTGATAAAAAGGGTGCCCAATGCACATTGCGTCGGAATCTGGATCATGCGTCGGCGCCCCGCGACCACGTCGCACTGGCCATTTGCGAACACGGCGGGGGGGGAGGGGGGCGGCAGATTGCCCGCTGCGCTCAGGCCCACCATTCTTTTCCACAAAAATCCTCCTCCTCCTCCTCCTCCTCCTCCTCCTCATCATCATCATCATCATCATCATCATCATCATCATCATCATCATCATCATCATCATCATCATCATCATCATCATCATCATCATCATCGTCATCATCATAATCATCATCACCATCATCATCATCATCATCATCATAATCATCATCATCATCATCATCATCATCATCATCATCATCATAATCATCATCATCATCATCATAATCATCATCATCATCATCATCATCACCATCATCATCATCATCATGGTCATCATCATCATGGTCATCATCATCATCAGCCTCAGCATCATCATCCTCATCATCCTCATCATCATCAACATCATCATCAGCATTATCATCATCAGCACCATCATCATCATCACCATCATCATCATCATACCCCGTTGCCTCCATTCCCAATCCTCATCATCATCATCATCATCATCATCATCATCACCGCTCGCCACCGTCGCCAATCATGACCGCCATCGCGCGCTTCCGGCAGCAACGGAAGCGTCCCGGATCGGC